GAAAAGGCCTTCCTAGTGTCCCCTGTCTTTGCTGGTAATGTCCTTCTGCTTACTTTATAAAGTATCGTTATGTCCACCACCGACACCAGACATTTTCATACCAGTTTTTTTAGCCTGCTATTGACAAGTGGTTGGTCGTCCTACGATTAATGCGCCACATCTTCGGGGGGCAGATTTTTTGGGAATTCACCGCTTGTTATCAGTGATATGTGTTTCTTTGCTTCGCTCAGGTCAGACAGCGGAGACAGGAGTATTACTTTTGCAGAGAATATTTCCTAGCAAGGGCTAGTCCGCACATGATTACGCCATCGCAGATGTAAGTTGATTTAGTTTGAGGATGGGGGTCGAGCTTGTCCCGCTATTTCACTAATTACTGAGGATCTGCTAAATAAGTTACCACCATGGTACTCTGAGACGCTGGCCTTCGGAGTCCCCTTGACTTAGCGTGTAATTATCCAATTTCAGTCCAACATAAGTACTATGAAATAACCGCGGGCATGCCCTTATTTGAAGTCCCAAATATAACGGTACCCATGAGTAATCATGCCCGACGACCAGCAACCTTATTTCTCCAATCCCGATTCAAATTTCTAAGTGGTTAGCAGTCACTACTATTAAGTTGATCTGTCTGACTTCGCGCAGTCTTTTGTTGGCCAATATGGTTATCTAGTTCCATCTCTTTGGCAAGTTGGTGGCGGTACTTTTGTTTGGATTGCACCGCTTGCACAAAGAGTAAGTTCCGTCTTCAATAGTCTTTCCTTGATCAGGGTTGCGTGTAAGCTGTTATTTCTGTAATCTAAAGCATTTTAACGGTCATTAGTGCTTTTAAGACCTTAGCTGACAACGGCCTTCATTTCGGGCTTTTGTTTCACAATTTTCCGCTCTGTCATTTGCGTTTTCCATAGTCGGAAAGGATGGTGTTAATGCCAGTATGATGCTTCACTTAGCCATTCTCATGGAAGGAGGGCTTTACATTGCAGACTCTAGTTTTGGCGACTTTGAGGATCTACGCCCAATGACAATGTTTACGCATTAGATAAGGCGACGGGTGAGGGCTTATAATTAATTTGCTCGCCCCTTTTGTCACCTTGTGTTGTAGGGAACCTGGTCAGGAAGGCTTAGTCTACATCTGTCCACGATTTCCTTTTTCACCAGGTTCTGACGCAAGCTGGTGGGTGCTACGACAGGACTACCGTCTGCCTTCTGAAGAGGAGATTCGTTATCTTGTCCAGCCAGAAGATGTATGCGCTTTCTTTAGTATGCAGGCGGCAGAATTACGACTCAAGGATGCCGGTTATGGGGAGAAGTCGCTCTTCGTCCTCGACGAAAATCAAGAAGAAGAGGAGGAGAAAGAAGGGCAGGTAACTAACTACTGATTCACTACTTCTGTGGTATTAACTAGTCTCTTGGTCAAGTGCTTAAATAGGCTCTAGTTTAAGCCTAATGGCACATCGAGGCGAACATGTTTCATAACTCCATCGTTGAGTGTCCTTCCACTGCTGACAAGGACCAGGGAGAATAGGCCGACCATTTCCAGATGATTAGCCTTCGTTAGCCAGCCAGCCTTACCCGACTCTAAGTGTGCGAGACCTGAGATTGGAACCCCGATTGTTTTGGTCATTGAGCATCGAGACTCCAACGCCCTATCACTGGCAAAGGATTCGTTGTATGATCGGTAGACTTCTAGAATATTAACTAAGATAGAAGTTCGTTCACCGATCAGTTGGATAGACATGCTCGCTGCCTAACATCTGGGTCCTCAATACAGTAGTAGCTAGTTATTAAGCCCACGGTTAATAGGCCCAGCCGCGTATTAAGCCCAAATCAG